GCAGAAGTGCAAATTCAATGTCAGTGGGCTAAAACCAACGTGTGTCCAAGGCTACATTCCACACCGAGGCTCTAGGGAGGGATTCATCTTCCTACCTTTCCCAGCTTGCAGAGGTGCTCACACTCCTTGGCCCAGGGCCCTGTGTCACTGTGACCTCTGCTGCCACTTCACATCTCTGTCTCTGACCCAGCTGCCTCTCTCCTCTAAGGACCTTCGTGATGATGTTTGCTTTCCCACAGTGATCTGCCATCCCAAGGTCCTTGACAGTCACACCTGCAGAGTCCCATTTGCCATTGCACAGTGACATATTCACAGGTTCTAGGGATCAGACCATGGACATATTGGGGGCTTTTATTCTACTACGTTCTTCCCTTTGGCCCCACTGGTTCTTGTCGATCCCACATGCAAAATGCTTCCACCTCATCCCAACACCCTCCAGTGTCTCATTTACTACAACATCAACTCAAAGTCCAACATATTGTGTAACTATTATCTACTCAAAAGCCTAAATATTTTCATCCTCATCGCCTAAGTCAGGCATGAGTGAGACCCTGGATGTGATCTTCTCTGCTCAAAATTCTGCAATGGCTTCTAATTTCACTCAGTGAAGAAGCGAGAGTCCTTACAGTGACCTTACAGCTTTCCTCCCCCTCCCCAAGCTGAGCTCATCTCTGGTTTTCTCCCTGGCTCACTCCGCTCCAGCCACACTGGCCTCCCTGCTGGCCCCTGGGAACAACAGACATGCACCCACAGGGCTGTTGCCCTGGCCCGTCTCTGTCCTATTCATATGCTGAAGTCTTAACCCCCAGGACTACAGAACATGACCTCATTTGGAAATAGGGTTGTTGCAGATGTCATTTGTTAAAAAGAGGTCATTAGGGTGGGCCCTAATCCAGTATGACTTGTGTCCTGATAAAAAGGGGCAATGTGGACACAGAGACACGTGTACATGGGAGGTGACATGATGAGATGTGGAGAGAAGATGGTCATCTCCAAGCCAAGGAGAGAGGCCTGGACCAGCCTCTCCCTCCCAGCCCTCAGAAGGAACCTGACCTGCTGACACCCTGCCTTTGGACTCCCCTCCCCCAGGGCTGTGAGACAGTGAGCCTCTGTTGTTCACGTCACCCAGTGTCTGGTGCTGTGTTAGAGGAAGCTCAGCAACTAGCACCCCCTTCTCAAGGTTCTCAGTGAGGCCAGCTCTGGCCATCTCATTTTAAACTGGAAACTGCCCTCCCCTTGCCTCTGCCCCAGAACCCCCCTCTGCCAGATCATATTATTTCTATCACCTTCTAGAATACCATATAATTCACATGACTGTTATGACTATAGTTTATGTTCTGCTCTTCCTCAGTCCTACAGGGACAAGGATCCTTATTTGTTCACTGATGGCCCTCAGGTGGCTTGACCAGTGCCCGTGGCACAGCAGGCAATACAAATTGGCCTCATGCAGGGAGGGGTTGTTACTTACATTCACAGGTGAGTGAATGAAGGTTCCAGGGGATTGAGTGTTTCGCTCAGACACAGAGCTGTTAAGTGTCAAACCAAAGTGGGGTTCAAGTAACTATGAACCTGAGGGAGGCTTGAGTGATTCCCTTTCCATTGATTAGTATTTCTCAGGTGTCTCTTTTTCTGGCTTAACTTTTGACCTCTATCTGTTATTCTTCTAAGCTTTCAACCAGTTTTAAGCTTTAATTTTACTTTCTTTCAGGTAAACAAATGAAATCTGTAAATCTTTTAACTCATTATTTATTTCATTTAAATACATCATGATTAGTGATGATGTTTTATTTCTGGCATGTTGTTTTGTGATTTCTATTTGCTTTGCTCTGCTTTTCTCCTGCCTGTTATATACCTTGCAGTCATGGTTAAGCACATGGCGTCTATAGACAGCCTATCCGGGCTTGGTTCCCTCTCTTGCTAACCATGTAACCACGATATGTAATCCCTTTGAGACTCACTTTCTTCATATACAAAAAGTGGTACTAGCCACCTCAAAGTTTGTGATAAAATAGATGAAGAACTTAGAATAGTGACTGGCCTATTTTGCATTCTTCATTTTGACTTCTTTATTTTTATTCTCTTTTTAAACAATTACTTTAGAGATTACTGTTGAATTTTAATGAATACCCTAGATATTGAAGATTAAAATGTTACTTAACCCATATGTTGAATTTTATATACCAAATGATATCTGTATTTTGTTTCCATAAGTTCTGTTTAGTTCTTTAAAAAATTGATCTGTTTTCTTTTTCATGATGTCCTGATTTTTCATTATGTTATATAAGATTCATTTTATCTTTTAATGATTCAGTCATACTTATTTTATGCTCTCTCTTAGACTGTTTCATAATTTTAGGGTCTGGAATATTAATCATCCTGTATTTTATGGTTAGCTTTTTCTTCCCTGTGACACTTATTTCCTTCTGTTTTTAGTTGTGTCTCTGTGTGTGTGTAGAGTTGTGGGAGCTTCTCTTTAGTGAGTACAATTTTTTCCTATGATTGTCCCTTACATCCTGGTTTTCAAATTTTCCCTAGAGAACAATTTTGTGTTGCTTATCATAAGGCTCCAGGTGATAT